TCGGAATTTATCCCAATCCACCTTCGCATAATTCAGCGGGTGACTTGGGGTTGCAAAAGGTAGGCTGTTCCTCAAAGAGGGTAAGTAGAATTCGATACATATTGCACGATGGTCGCTGTCAATATCTAAAGTCGGGATGCTATTAGTGCCTATAGAGTTGGCTGTCTGCAGTCTACTGTCAATCAGTCCTATGTCTATGTAAGCATTGCTTCTGGGGAAAGTGGGAGTTACCGTGGTCAGCAGTTGAATTTTATAGAGGGTGGAATGAGTGTCGATCCAGTTATTCAATGCCCTCCCTCTGCCATTAAGAATGCTATTATTCCATGTTAGATGTTTGGCATTGAAGTCACCAGCTAATAAATAAAAATTATTAGGGTTGCTCAAGTCCAATATACTGAACAGATAATTTAGCTCGTCTATAAATAGATCCGCTTGCGAACCCGGAGCATAGCCTGAAATTATGTATAGGCTTTGCCCATTTGCTATCCTGATTTTAATGATTATCTGTTCGATGATTATTAAGTCTTTAGGGAGGTAAACTATTTCGTGCTTTAGTGAGTTCCTCACTAGCACAGCTACACCCCCTCCATTGTCGCTACCTTTGTCTTTCCTTATGAGGTCAAAACCTTTAAATTTAAGTCTGTGCTGTGATTTAAGTTTGGTCTCATTGAGAAGGAGAATATCCGGTTTTTCTACGTTAATTAAATTAAGAATATTATATCTCCTCTCATTTGAAACTATCGAGTTGATATTTGCTGAAATTATTTTTAATCTACTGAGTGTAGCCATTTTTATTAATTTCCAAGCCCGCATCCGGATAACTAGAGCCGTAAAATGCCCTGTGCAGCTCTTCGAACTTTTTTGCATTAGCTCCAATCTTACCCTCCAAATTGTTGACCTGCGTCATCATAAACGCTTTTAGGTCGGCAAACAGTTCTTCTATTGTGGTCGGTGTCTGGACACGGGTCCCTACGCTTGGCTTATGATTACTGTCTACCGGTGGCAAAATATTTGGGGTAACCATCGCTAAGTCCTGAGAGGGACCCCTTACCGCGTCGGCGAAACTATACCTGGGCCTAACGCCACTGACGAGAGCCGGTATATCCTGACTAGTATGGCCGTTGGCTGTCATTCAATAGTACTGATTTTGCTTTTTTGGTATTCTTTTGTCTTCTCTATGTAAGATAAATAAGCAATATAATAAACATTTTAACTTTAAGTCAGTCATTTAAATCATTTTCAGTTATATATTGTTTGCCTCACGAACTCATCTCGGATACTCGGGGCAGAACACCATTTTCATGGGTCTGATCCTACACCTCAGGCGACGACCGTATCCGTAACCATAGTGCGGGGTGTTCCAGCAGTACTAAGCCCCGCCACCAAAGGGCTTTCCCGTATGCTAACCTCGCGCGGCACAGCTGTTAACGGGTCATTCCACGCCAAATCGATCACTTTTGGAAGTCACCATCTCCGATTTTGCTCTAATCGAAATATGTTGCAGTCCATGTGAAATTAGGGGGGGTTTAAGTCATCATTTTGCCGGTTTCGAATTTGTTAATGAATGACAAGCCGTCAAAGTTTGCAATTTTTGCCCGTTTTGGCGAAAATGGGGTCCACTTGGGAATTTTTTTCTCAGAAACTACTGAACCGATTTAGGTACATTTTTTTTTGTTTTATTCGTGAAGGTTTGGGCTATTTTAAAATATTTTTTTTAACTTTGTCAATTTGTTATAAAATGTTGAAAAATTTAAACAAATTCTTTTTTTGCGTTTTTCTCAATGAGGGGCGTAAAGGGTTAAAATTTAAAAAAAATATGTTCATATTCTTTGAAGCT